TATTTGTTTTAAGCATTAGAATATTTATGCAAAGTTTCAATCCATTTGGAAAAACCCTCGAAGAAAAAAGTGACAAAATTGATTTTGACTAGGGTCGCCCCTAGTCTAAAATTGAAATTGTATTTCCTTCTTGGTTCTTTGCTCAAAAAAATTTTAGGATGTTTTTTTTGTATTTGTTTTAAGCACTAAAATATTTATGCAAAGTTTTAATCCATTTGCAAAAACCCACGAAGAAAAAAGTGACAAAATTGATTTTGACTAGGGTCGCCCCTAGTCCAAAATTGAAAATGTATTTCCTACTTGGTTCTTTGCTCAAAAAAATTTTTTGATGTTTTATTTGTATTTGTTTTAAGCACTAGAATATTTATGCAAAGTTTCAATCCATTTGGAAAAACCCTCGAAGAAAAAAAAAAACAAAATTGATTTTGACTAGGGTCGCCCCTAGTCCAAAATTGAAAATTTATTTCCTACTTGGTTCTTTGTTAAAAAAAATTTTAGGATGTTTTATTTGTATTTGTTTTAAGCACTAGAATATTTATGCAAAGTTTCAATCCATTTAGAAAAACCCTCGAAAAAAAGTGACAAAATTGATTTTGACTAGGGTCGCCCCTAGTCCAAAATTGAAAATGTATTTCCTACTTGGTTCTTTGCTCAAAAAAAATATTTGTATTTGTATTGTATTTGTTTTAAGCACTAGAATATTTATGCAAAGTTTCAATCCATTTGTATAAACCCTCGAATGAAAAAGTGACAAAATTGATTTTGACTAGGGTCGCTCCTAGTAGGGTTTGGGGAATCTGTTAACAGAAAACAGAAAAACAGCTGTTTTTCGACAAAAATCTGTTAACAGAAAACAGGTCTCAAAAACAGATCTGTTTTCTGTTTTTCATTTTTACATAAAATTTACAGAAAAAAAAATTCTTAATTTTTTGAAGAACTTAATATATTTTTCTAGCATATCAAATTGAAATGTATTTACTATTTTAATATTTTTTGGATCTTAAATAGGTTTGAAATCATTATCAAATTTATGGTTAATCATTATTAATTTTGCAATCGAAATTTTAAATTTGTTGAACCTTTTGTAGCATTTATTAAAGTTTAAAAATATAATCAACAATTTTACAAGATTTTTTTTATTCAGAAAGATTTTTTGAATATTTCAAATAAAATATTAGAGCTTATGGAACTTTTACAATGCAACAATGCAATGTTACTTAAAGGTTTAAATTTTTTTGGATTTTTTTTTGCATTTTTATATTTCATTATATTTTTTAGAGTTAATTAACATAAAAAAATAGCTCTAAAATGTATGCTTAACTGCTTATAACCACCAAAAAGTTTCATTATCTTAGAGAAACACTTAGGATAACTCAGTTTATTTTGAATTCTAGAAAAACAGGAAAACAGCTGTTTTTAAAAATCAAAAACCGAAAACAGACTGTTTTTCAAAAACAGCTGTTTTCCACAAACCCTAGCCCGTAGTCCAGAATTGAAAATGTATTTCCTTCTTGGTTCTTTGCTCAAAAAAAATTTTTTTATCCAAAGTTTAATTTTAAAAAAAATCACAGTGAACTTTTAATTTGAAAAATTCGTAAGAAAGGAAAGTTTTTTGCTTTTTCTGAAGCAACGACTGTTCCTACCTTGCCCAAAAACAATACAGCTCTTCTATAGAGCAGCACGGATCAAATGTAAAAAACTAGAAGTCTCTACGATGTCTCGTTATTGAGATTTCTTGCTGATTAACTTGCTTGTTTGCTTGTTTGCTTGTTTGCTTGCTTACAGAAAGCATATTTTGCGATTTTCTCAGCAATGTCGCAACCAATTTGAAATCTGTTTTTTTGCAAGAGATGTGAAATTCAAGGCACAAACTTTTCATATCTGAACATTTTAAGCTTTCTTGCTCCATATCCTCACAAAATTCTAAAAACTGATTTTTCAACCAGAACAAAACCAATAGATTCACACGTGAAAACGGTGTGAATATAAAAATAACTTGAACAACCAACAAAACAATAAAGAAAGAGGAAAACATTGGAAAAAGAATCAAAGAAAAAAGCAAAACGAGCGCATTAATAACATTCAGTAGTGATGTAGTGAATCAAAACGTAACAACTAATCAACAAGCTCTAAGCACCAGCAAAAGAGATAACAACATCCCAGAAACAGAGAAATCAAAGTGTACTTGCTCAAAAATCCAGAGTTCATCGAACAAATACTCCAAGCAATCGTTGCCAACTACCTTAGCAAGCATTACGTCGACGTTGCTTGCATCTCACAAACATTCTTAAAACCAAACTCAAAAATTTACTTGCATCCTGACTACGGATCAGATCGATTTGATCGCGTGGATAGGCAAAAAGGTGGTGTTGCGATCATTGTCAACAGAAATCTATAACATCAGCTTCAACTAAGCTACACAACACAAAACTAATGGAATGCATTGGAATCAAAGTCTTCATCAATGACACGGATAGTTGTCACATTCTCTCAGTCTATCTCCCAGGAGGAAGCAAAGGATTGGAAATAGATCAACATCTGAGAGATGACATCAACAAAATAACAAATCTGAGAGGAAGTTACTACATCTGTGGAGAATTCAATGCAAAACATCGAGAATGGAACTGCAACGTTGCAAATAAATCAGGAAATATTCTTCAGGAAATGTCAGGAGAGTTCATGATCTACTTTCCTGACTCGCCAACGTTCTACCCAGAAGATCGAAACAAATAAGTTTCAACAATTGATCTGATGCTCTCGAATTCCAACCTCGAAACAACAGAACTTCAATGCACAGAGGCAATGAGTGATCACTGCGCTGTATGTTTCCAAATCAAAACATCAAAAATCGACAGAACTGAAAATACAGTCTACAGATATGACTACAAAAACGCAAACTGGAAAAAGTTCAAAGCAGAAATTTCACCCCGCATAGAAGACAATTTCGGAGAAAATCCTTGCAAAACATCAGAGGAGATTGAGAATCACATTAAGATTCTCTCTGAACTCATCATGGAAGCAAGGAACTCAAGTGTAAAAATGAAAAAGATCAACTTTGAATCAACTAAACTCACACCCGAGATTAAAGATCTAATCAATACAAAAAGGAGTCTTCGTCGAAGATGGCAGAGAAGCAGAGATAATCAACTCAAATCTGAATTGAATTACCTGCAATGAGAAAATTAAAGAACTCAAAAACAAAAACTGGAATAAGAGTCTCTCAGAGATTCAACCGTCAAACCAAACAGTTTGGAGAATAGCAAAATTTTGCAAAAAAGGTTCAAAACAATGCCTCCATTGACAAATTTGGGTAAAACGTTCATCACCAACAAAGAAAAAGCCAGCGCACTCAGTGAGTATTTTCGTGAAGCTCACGAAAATCCTCTGGAACAACACGACCTACAGCATACACAGGAAGTAAGCAACACAGTCAAAAAAGCATAGAAACGAGACAATGATGAGAGTCCAGAATTAACAGATGTAAACAAGATCGTGAGCATCATAAGAAATCTGAACAATTCTAAAGCTCCGGGACTAGATGAAGTCAACAACATACTCATCAAAAATCTTCATGAAAAAGGTTTAGAATACTTGAAATTCATCATCAATTTGTGCCTCAAACTCAATCACTTCTCCAAAGTTTGGAACACGCAAAAGTTATTCCAATACCAAAACCTGGAAAAACAGCGATTGAGTTTAGCAGCAACAGACCAATAATTCTACTCAGCTCATTAAGCAAAATACCTGAGAGAGAGGGAAGAAAAGTTCAACAATACATGAACAAATGGAAGATCAACCTCAAAGACTCAAACCTTATTCATCACAAACAGGCACTCCAGGCAACTTCCAGGAAATAACATCAAATTTCTCAACAAAAACATCAAATGGGAAACAGAAGCTAAATATCTGGGAATTCCGTATAGTAAATCAAAAATTGTGAAATAAAAGGCAAATTAAATGCTTTAAAACTTAGAAAAACCAAGAGCAACAAAATGTTTAGAAATATATACTTAAACTTACTTTAAGTTTTTCTTGAAAATTTCTTAATTTATTGTCCATAATGTTGCTATCCAGGACATATTGCCTGCATATTCTAGCATTTATTTGAAATTATTCTTTTTAAGTTACTACAAATTTCCAGCATTTTATTGCCAGTGAATTTCCTGCATATTTCCTGTACAACTTTTCAAAAATTTTTTAATTGATTGTTTTATTCGTCCTTTTTTCCAAAAATATTTTAGAATCAAAAATGTTATCACCTGCTAATTTCCTGCAAATTTGCTAGACAAGTGAATTTAAAACTTCCTGCGAATTATCTTCAGTAAATTTCCAAGTCAAGTTTATTCAAAGTTTTCTTATAAGTTGCTGCAATTTTCCTACTTAATTTTCCTACTTATTAAAATACTTAAATGCACTAATTCTCTCAGTATAGTCCTGTACAGTCAATACAAGAAACAACAATATTTAATCCAAGTAATACTGGCATAAAAGGAAACGAAGAAGCAGACGTTCATACAAAAAAGCTACGAAACAACAACTTTACTCAAATTATTACGCACAAAGCAATATCAAGATGAATGGGAAATCAAAAATGGAATATTCTTAAAGGAAATTAATTAATTGATAAAATATCACTTTGAAAAACATATCCTGTCCTGTAGTTTAAAAAATTTAAATTAAGAACATATTTAAAGGACCCCAATATAGATAATTAAGAATATGGAGTATTTCTGAAGAAGAAAAACTTTTTATACAAATTTAATTGTAGGTTTTGATGATTGCTGTCATCTTTAATCGATGTATGTATAATAAAATGGAGGAAGAATGTAGGTTTTTGAAGGTTGAAAATATTTTTTTTTTTTATTTTAAAACCTTTGATACAAAAAAATAAATTTTAACTATTTTACAGTTATTTTAAAATAAATGAACTTTTCGAACACACAACAAACCCCGTTACGGGTTCTTAACGACTAGTTCCTGTTAAATAATAATTTTGATTAGTTAAATAATTTGTGAAGATACAACAAAACAATTAAGAAAGAAGTGCTTTTCAAGCTTTTTTATTGAAGAAACAAAATGAAATGTGAAACAAATTTATCTCGTTCGTTTTGGAGCATTATTCTTTGCATGCTTGCTTTTGTTTTGTTTCTTCGCTTTTCGTTTTTTAACCTTGTACTTTTTCCAGCTTATTTGGATAACCTTGGCAGCATGGTTGATTCTTAGTTCTTCCAATTTTTGATTTCGATACTTAAGCTCTTCTTCCTCTTTTTCTTTCATTAGTGAAACATAACTAAAATAATAATGTTTCATATGGTTAACATATCTTTTTATTTATTTTTTAATTATTTTGTTTCATACTTTGCTTCCTGCTGAGCAATTAACAGTTTCCACTTTACAAAATTTTGTGTATTATCATTTATGTCACCTTCAATCGACTCAATTTCAGCTACACGTGAACCAACATTACTATCAAATTTTAGTACAATTGCTTTAAGTGTTTGTTCCGCTTTAAACCTTTATTATGTGTCAAAATATTATTGGAAAAATCAAAATTTAAATAGATTTAAAATAAAATAAAATTTCTTACTTTTGTTCCACCAGATTTTTATGTTTAACTAAATTACTGTCAAATAATTTCAGATATTCATTTTGACTTTTTTTTTCAACAAAATTTGAGTTTTGTTCTGCATCTTTCCTAATTTTTGACTTTAAGACGATTCTCATGTTACCATCGTATCTTTAAAAAAAATTATGTTAAAATTTTGATTTTCATTATTACTTAAAAGTTACATTTCATCTTCAATTTTGATTGCTATAAAATGTTTGAATTTCTCTTGTCGACAATCAATAGCGAAAATTTTGTCCTTTCTCAAATTGCACTTTTCATTAAATTTAGTAACTCTGCTAGATAGTTGCATAATAAGTTTTCGATGTTTGATTTTGTTTCGTTCGTTACTATCCAAAATAATTTTTGCATTGTCAGCTTTCATATTTCCAGTATATTTCAATATGCACTGTATATATTCTTCAAAATTTTCCAAATATTTTAAAAATATTTTGTTTTCTAATTCGTCCTATGAATAAATATGATAAGTTTGATATCAAAAATACACTTTTATGTATCCGAAATTACATACATAATTTTTAAGAATTTTCAACAACTCAGAAAAATTCTTAAACGTCTTTATGATGAGGATCAATAAACGATTAGATGCATTCTGAAAGTTTTTTGTTTGACGGATTTTTCTTTTGCTTTTACAACTTCTTGAAAAAAATTTCTTTTGCATGGATGTAGATGAAAAACCTCTTGCCAAAAACTTTAACAAATCGCTTTTAGAAGCTAAAATTGAATTAAGTTTTGTAAATATAATTTTCTTCGATGACATTTTGAAAAACTATGATTTATTGCTTGCTTGGTTTCTACGATTAACACTATTTGATTAATAATTTGACATGTATCTACTACTCAGACTTATTTCTTCTTTCCCCGTCTACTCTTCTTTTTCTTTCGTTTTGCAACCATAGTTCGCCAACATCTAAATATTTTAAAAAAATATATATTATGATTTTTCATTGAAAGAGAACCAAAAGAAATAATTACTTTTGAAGAATCCTAGCAGAACGATTCATCATAAATATTAGCATAGATTGTTCCATCTCCATTCTCTCAGTATCAGTTTTCTCTTGCATAAGTCTTGCATGCCTGAATATATTGTTACAAAGTTGTATCTTTAAATAAAATTTTCATTATCTGTTATACTTACAGCTCGATTTGGGGTTCAAAAACTGTGTCTTTCCACACAGTAAATTCTTTCCGCTGCAAATCAAGAGCATTGTGTAATTCTTCGAGCTCTTTTGTGCGTTCCTCACCAACTTCAACATCATACTTATTTAAAATTATTTGCAATCCTTGTATCGCCTTCGCTCTATAATAAAAAAATTAATCAATAAAAAGTAGGTAATCTATTTATTTAAGTAGAATTACAAAAAAATCATCTTTTAAAATAATTTAACTTTAATGTACTACAATGATTTTAAAAATACCATCTGTTCCCGTTATAGTCCTCTACACGTTCCCAGAGCTCTAAGTCGACTCGGAGTTGACTCGGACTTAATTTCTTTCTATGAAAATATTTTAAACATTAATACTTAATTTAAAAAGAATTTTTATTTTTAAAATGAAAAAAACGAAAGCCTTTGAATATGGGTTTTTTTCTTTGGTTTGGGAGTGCACTATGGGGCAAAATTGAAAAAAAGGGACTTTCACTTCAAAAAAGGCAATGTTTCGAATTACGATCTAAAGTGGATTTTTTCTGGTAGAGGACATAAAAATAGACTTCTATGCCAAATTTCAAGTCATTTGGTGCTATTTTTGCGGATCTGTGGATGTTTGAAGTTGAATATGGGTGAAAAATCTGGTTTTTTCATGTCACGTTACAACTGGTAAATCTCCGCAGTGGTTAGAGATATTGAAACAAAGTTTTCAGTTCCTAAAAGTGTTATGTAAAAGCTTTATTTTAATGTATATCAAAGTTTAAAAATTTGATGTTTTGGTATCGGTGTAGTTGAAAGTGTATAAAAATCCTAGGAAATATATCTTTGTGCAGACACAACTTTTTTCTGTCAACAGCTATACCAGTCAAAAACGACACCGTTAAATAGCCACTGATATCTAGTTTTCATAACTGTATAAACATTAAAATAATGTTTGCACCGTTCTGAGAAAAGTTGATTTGATGCCGCTTTAAATCACCCGAAACTCATAACCACCGAACAATCTTTTCCAAATCACCCGCTAAATGAAAATCACGGGATTTCATAAACACCGGATTTCATAAACACCGTTTGGAAATGTTAGCGGTGGTTTTGAAAAATAATGATTTTCAAATCCACCGCTAATAATTCCAAGCGGTGGAAAAAATCACACGTGTGTTTATAATCACCGCCTGTATTTAAAGGCGGTGGTTATGAGATCACGTGTGATTTATTTCACCCGAAATTTTCGACAATCTGGTGATTTGAAATGTCGTGTATAAATTTTTCGTACCTATTTTTCTTATACAATTTTCACTATTTTGCTAATTATTTGGATCTCAAGAAAACAATATAAAGGTAAAATCATTAAAAGTAGTAAACTTAATCAAAAAACAATATTAATTAATTATTTTAAGTGTTTTGATAACGTGATTAGATGTGAGTCCGGATCATCTGGCAGAATCTATGGATTTCGGACTTTGACAAAAGATCCATAGATTACAGAAAATCTTTAAAATACATGGAATTTCGAAAAAGTTCAAAGCCCCTCGTGCATAAACGTGTGAAAAAATTTCATTTAATTAATTAAATAGTTTCCAAGTTATTTATAGTTGTTTAAACTATTTATTTAAGTACACGGTGCTGTCTGCTGCCCATTGGGAATGAAGAGACGCAAAAGGAAGCAGGATTTAAGTCCAAAAATGGACTTTGATGAAATCCCGAGTGGATCAAAACAAAATCTCAAGAAACAAAGAAAACAAGTTCCAGAAAAAAAAACTCCACGGCGGAACCTGAAGTTCCAGTAACAGCTGCAAAGGCTGAAAAGCCTTTGTTCATCCAGCAAAATATTAATGAAGTGAGAAAAATAATTTCATAAATCAATTTGCAGGTTAAGCCTGCATTTAAAATTTCATCAGCGGCTACAACACAAGTCATAGTCAAAAATGTTGAGGACAAGGCCTCAATAATCAGCGTATTGCGGTCTCAATGCATCCCATTTCACACTTTCTCCGAGAAATCGGAGAAAACAAAGTCATTCGTTCTGAAAGGATTTTACGAAACACCAACGAATGAAGTACTAAGATTACTTCAAGAAGCCAAGGTTTCAGCTGTCAAAGGGACAATTCTCGTCAAGAAGCCCGAGTTCACCTTTTATCTTGTGCATTTTTAAGATGAAAGTGTGAACATCAACGTGCTCAATCATAACCACCGTAACATCGACAACATCATCGTCAAGTGGGAGAACATCAAGAAGGGCAACAAAAGCCCAACGCAGTGCTTCAACTGCCAACGTTGGGGTCACTCACCCAAAATTGTGGATATAAGTTCCGATGCGTCAAGTGCACGGAAGTTCACGGACCAAATCAATGTCAACGATCCACTCGTGATGGAAATGCCAAGTGCATTATTTGCAATGGCGATCATGCTGCCAGTTATAGACTGTGCCCATCGTTCATTTCGTATTCCAAAAGAATCGAAAAGTCAAGAGCCAAACCACAACTCAAAATGCTGCCACAGATATCAAGTCTTTTGGACAGTAACAATTTTCCATCGTTATGCAAACGACATCAAGTTTCTGCTCATTCACATCCAGTGAATGCTGCAAGTAAATCATCAGGCTGGTGTCAAAATAAGACTCAAATAAATGTAACTTAAACTACAATAATTCCAAATTTGAAATAAAGAAAGATTATTAGTCAACTTCAAACATCCACAGATCCGCAAAAATAGCACCAAATGACTTGAAATTTGGCATAGAAGTCTATTTTTATGTCATCTACAAGAAAAACGACTCTAGTCGATTCGAATCCTATCGACTTCGAGCTCTGCCCGTTACTAAGCCTTAGGATCAAAACTTTTTGTATCCTTTTACTAAGCCTCTACCCATTTCCCATCAAATAAAATTGTAAAGCAATTTTTTCATTAATGTACATTTATAGATTACATTAAAACTAGATTTTACAAAAAGATTTGAATCATAATGAAATTAGTTTAATTAACAAAATCTTCAAAAATATTGAGTTCAAAACTTACTTTTGCTCACGAAGTCGCTTCTCTTTTGTCAAATTTTTATTCAACAGTTGCTTATAAGCCTCTTTTGAATCCTCAGCCATATTATATTTAATTTCAATTGCATTATCCTTGGTTTTGCAAAAATCAATGATGTTGACATTTGATTGCTGACTTAAATAAAATTTAAATAAGAGGTCGGATGGTAAAAATTTTGATGGGAAATTCACCATTTTTTCCCATGTTTTTGTGGAAAATTTCCCATCATAAAGTGGGGAATATGGTAAAAAAATGGAAAAAAATGGTAAAAAAATGGGAAAAAATTCTACAAAAAATGAGAAAAATAGGAAAATTTCCCTTTTTTTACCTATCAATTAGTTTTCCCCTGTCTATAACTTACATTTGACTTTCAATTTCAATTTCGCTCTCTTTTTTTAAAATATCAATTTCCTTTTTATACTTTTCAATCAGCTCATATTTGTTTTGCATTTTTTCTTCAAAATTTTCCTTTCTATATATCCATTTTTCGCGAAGAGAAGTTAATTTATCCTTTGTCTTTTCATATTTTTTCCACATTTGATGAAGAATTTGTTCTTTTTTAAGTTCTTTTGGAGCCGTCAATTGCAGCCGTGAATATATTATGTTACGTAATTCCTTAATACTTGATAGAAATAATTTTTTTTGCAGCGAAATCTATTGAATTACGAAAATGGAATCTTAGTAATTTACTTCTATAAAAAAATGTAAATTTAAACTTACATTATCTTTATATTGATCTGTATGTAAGTGTAAGTTGGTACTTAAGAGCATTTGAATTAATCGATTGACATTTCTTTCTTCTATTAAATTATTTAAATCTGATTCGTATGTATGACTTGAACAGTATCTTTTCAAATCTTCAATGTCTTCATCTTTGAAATATTTTCGCATTAATTCACGATCTTTTATGAATTCTTGTATACATAAAAGTGTTTTAATTTTCTTTATCATTTCATCGAAAATTTGAAGCACTCGACTGACTTGAATTTGAAACTCAAAATTTCTAATTGCTTTTTCACTTCTTGCATCTCCTTCATCTATAATATTTTCTGAGATTTATTCGTTATTTATTTAAGTTCGTTTTTAACCAATTTTTACCTTTTTCATCGAAGTTGAATATTTCCTTCTGAATTTTCTCTATTGAAACCTTTTGTTGCTTGAACTGCTGAAGAATGCCTGGATCGATGAAATCAAAGTCTTCTTCTTCGTTTTCTATTTATTTTAAAGAAAATTAAGCAACTTTTTTATTTTCGTTTAATTTTAATACCTTCTTCAGGCTCAAAAAAATCATCAAAATTTATTTCAATCATTTTTATAATAAATTTTTAAAGTTTTTCTTAATAAAAATATCCTCTACTAAGAATTTAATAATTAGAACTATTTTTTAAACAAATAGTTTACAATCTATTCAGTTAAACTTTAATAAATTTTTAAAACTTGACAACAGTTTCTTAGTAACACATAGCTTTAAACTTTTATAACTCCAATTATGTTTCCACAACCCTTGACAACAAATATTAGGTAACAATGACTATTACTATATTAGAGCTAACATTTTAGCTCTGTTTTATCAATAACTTTACATTTTGTTAATGATTAAGTTCTGGAAACATTCATTAAGGCAGAATATTATTTAAGTTCATTAAAATCTTAATAGTCATCATTTGATTGGATTTTTATTTATGCTGTGACAGGATGGGAAAAAAAGGAAAAGATAAGAATAAGTTAGCACGAATGTCGGAAGAAGAACGAATTCGTTATCTCCAGCATAGAGCTGAACTAGAGGAAGAAGCAAAAAGAAGAAAACAACAACTCATAAGTACATTTATGAAGGTATTTTTTTTCGTACGCCACTGAAAATTTAAAATAAGAAGAAATCATTTTCAATAACAACGATCAACCATTTTTAAGACGATATTGTGCAGACTTATTTTATATTTCTCTTCCCTCATTTTATTGCATTTTTTCTTATATCTGTCTTTTTAGAATAAATTGAAGAAAGAAGATGCCTTTAGTCGTCTCAACGTGTAAGAGTTTCGTTTACAATAACATTCTTTGTACAGCTTTTGGATGAAGCATTCTTGATTCTTTCTTTATTTTTTGTTTTATTCGCGTAACAGGGCAAAAATCAAAAGTGAATGGCGTGATATATTGCGAAGAATAAAATGCAAACAACTGCATGAGGACCTTAAGGCTATAAAAAAAGAATGCGATGAATCGATTCAACGTAAAAATGCAGTCATACGTCGCTTACTTTCAGATCTTGATGAATCTGAGGAAATCTACTCAACAATGTTACATTCTCATATGAACATTATTGAAAAGCTGATAGGTACATATCAAAAGCGCAATTGACTTATGTCTCAAAATGTCTTAATTTTTTTTTTGCCTGTTTATCTAGATATATCTGATGATCGCTTACAGTTTCTGCGAAAAAATTATGAGTCCGAAAAACGAAAAATAATCCAAATGTATGAAATAGATATGGTTGATTATAAAAATAAAAAATTTCAACAGCAGAAGGAGTTGGAAAGTGTTTATTATGGCTTAGCTGAGCGATCTCTGAAACAAATGAAAACAGCCGAGGAAGAATTTCTTCAAAAACAAGATGAGCTCAAAAATTCTGTAAGCTATATAAGTTATTATTTTTTTCATATCTTTTTTTTACTATTTCGAATTTAAAAGCATGCATGCTATGCAAATTTATTTTTGCATGCACTAAGAGTTTCCATTTTTCTAAAGAATCACCATTATTTGCTACAATGTTGTACGATATACATTTAAAATATAACAGTTTCAGCATTCCAATCGGCACAATTCATTTTCGCGCGCTCAGCGAGGCATGTGATTAAGTTTTTTGAATATAGACAATTATCACGAAGTAGCTTCAGGTCGTGATTTATCATGCGAAAGCATTCTTGAATTGAATCTATATAAAAAAATTTTAGATCTTTATCACGAAGTGGTTTTGTCAAAATATTTAACACGTGATTTTTATCTGGATAGCCTTCTTGATTCACCTAAAATTAAGAAAGTAATGAGATCAAAAAAGTTTTTGAAAAACAATTCATAATTTGCGATAGTAATTATAATCCCCCCCCCAAAAAAAAACTCTTAAGATAAATATACAAAATATCGGCCTTTTTAATTTTTTTTTGTATTAGCACTTTGTTTGATCATACCATTTTTAGTTCTTGGAAAAAGCATTGGAGAATGCATGAACGGTCTCTTTCACCTTTATCATTGGTAGAATTATAATTATTTTTATTTTGACTGTTACTGCTGCTGCTATAAAAACTGCTCTGCTGATTACTAAAGTTGTTATTATCGTTATACGTGAATTGATAAGGATTGTGTTGGGGTGAATCATGTCTATCATTTCTTTGACTCATTTCATAATAATTTCCACCTGTTTGTGGAGTTTGCGGATAGTCATAGTTATGATTAAGTCGCGATGGATTGTAGTTTTTACTGTAATTATTCATCCTGTCATTATTTCGTCTCGAACTGCTTACATTTTCGTCTCTTTTCTTCTCATTCGTATCCAAGTCCTTATTACGCATCTCGAAGTCTTCATCAAAGTTTTCATATTGATAATAATTCTTCGCTTCGTTCTCGCCTTCACTATGGTTATCATTATTAAATGAATCATAATCCACTGTTATCTTTTTCATGCACTTTTTAATGACTTTTCTAACATCTTCAATTTGCAATCCATCGGACGTCACACATCTTAATGCTAAAATTTCTCGATGAAAAATATTTGAAGATAAAAATGCCAGAAAGATTAAAATAAACTTCATTTTATGTTCAATTGAATATTTGCAATGCAAAGAATACAAAGAAAAAGTGAATGCAAAAGCAAACCTTTTCAGTTTTTATATAAAATTTTAACAATAGGATTGATTTATGAAGTTGATGATGTTTCCGTTTTATATTTTATTTATGACATTTTTTATTTACACATTAATTTTTAGATGATGTCAAAGCTGGAAATGATTACAAAAGAACGGGAAATTCATATGGAAAAGTTATGGAAAGAATTTCAAAATGTTTTAAATTCATATCTTAAATATACAGAAGAATATCGTGACGAATATATTGATTTACGTAATAGAGATGCAGAAGACACTCGTAGTATTCAAGATCACTATAATGGTATTACCCATATTACCTATTTATTATATTAATACATCTAAAGTAATATTTTCAAAATGATTTTTTAGAAGTTGCTAAATTAACAGAACGAATCACTGAACTAAAATCTCAGTTAGCAAATATCAAGGATGAACAAGACTTTAATGTAAATCAGTTGATTAAGCATCGCAACGATTTGAAATTTAAAATGGAAAAAATGAAAGAAGATATGGATCATGGATTGATAAAAGATAAAGAAAAATTGAAATATCTTGTGTCAATTGGAACACGCGTTTTTAAGGTTTAAAAATAAAATTTATTATAATTTAATTCATAACTTTTACGACTACCATTTCTTTTAATAGCGTCTGAACAATTTTTTGAAGCAAGGAAAAACAGTAATACAATTGATTCGTCTTTGTGAAAATATTGAACTAGATCACCAAAAAATGTCTGACATTGTTGGCAAAAAAAGGAAATTTCTTAACTATAGCGAAGAAGAATTAAAGATTCCTCCTTCACCGAATGAAAAGGCTCCTTTAGGAGTAGACGATGTAAGTGATTGAATGACTTTTTTTAATTAATTGTATTTTTTAAAGTAGCATTTTACACAGAATATTGTGCAATTATACGATAAATTGGACATTTTTTGGATGCGGTATAATAGAACTCGGATTGATTGCGTATGCTTAAAAGAAGAAAAGTCTGTATTGCAAAAAGAAAATAAAGAATTGACTAATAAGCTCAAGAGCTATTTAGTGGCTGTTAACATGACATCTGGCCATCCTGTTCATAATACATACAATCACAGATATTCAAACCGACCAAGTAGTGTAAAAATTGAAAGAATTGAGCATATAACAATAACATCAAAGAACGAATTATTGAAGAGAAATAAATTTGAAAAACGACCAGTTACTTGCATTGATGGTAATTTAAGTAACGCAGTAAGACACTTACGAATTTCAACAATGCTTCAAAATACAGATTGTTATGCCATATCAAACAAGTTTTAATTATATTTATTGCTTAGTATATCCTAAGATTATTTGCATAATAGTGTCATTGCATATAAATAAAGAAACCAAATTTTTTCTACACATAAAGATATAAAATGAATTTTTAAATCCTTATATAAATTTTATGCTTCGTCGAAAAAAAAATTTCATTTAAAAGTAAAGATCAAAGGTAATAAATCAAAGTGATAGCAAAATGGCGTTGAATTCAACCTCATACTATAAATTCAAGAGTGCATATCTTCTTCTAGACATGCACAATAATTAATCCTTTAACATTTATCCCACGCCACGAATAAAAAAATTTAAGACACGGAAAGATAAATGTATACAAATACCTCTTCACTTTTCCTTATTCTATAGTGTACTCTGACTTTATGTTACAGACAATGTCGAGTTAAATAATATAATGTTGAGATCAAATGGAGTTTTAAATGTACATTGAAATGATATTCGATGTGAAGCATTGGAGAAACGGCCCAGAAAAAAAAGCGAATTTATGTGCTATCAGTTCAAGGACCCAAACACCCATAATTATTGTACATTCAATCCGATATGTTGTGAAAAAACCACGTTTAGTATAAAATGGAATCGAGAGATGAAAAAAAAAATTGAAAGTGAATCATGAAGTAAAGCAAAATTGTGTGTTTCCATGAAATCCCAATTAAATTTGTGCTAGTATCATTGAAAAATTCATTTCTGAATATTCCAGTATTTTTGCAATCATTGAAGAATATTACAATTGTTTTAATTTTTACTTACGAATAATGGAACGATAGAAATACTCCTAAGAATTATTTATGCCAAAATAAAAACAGAAGGTTTTTTTTTATTCACGAATATACAAAAGATTTCGCTTGAAATTGAAACTTAGATTTTTGATGTTAATTCATTTTACGGCCAAATATTTGATTATATTAATTTGCAATATAGACAGAACATGAAAATTCGCATTATAGTATATTTTATGATTAATTGATGCGAAGGGCTAGAATTAAAGAAGCTAATTGCTTTCCACGAATTTCTTTCATGCAGTTTTTAATCTTTTTGAATGTTTTTGCATTCTTTAATGCTTTGTATTTTGAACAAATATCTTTTCTCTGAAATTTTTCAAGACTAGTTTATTGTATTTTTTTTATATCTTGCTGAATTATTACTTTTGATTCTTATTTTACTCTCTGAACTTACAACGTAAGATAGTCGTTAGCTTCAAAAAAATTATTTTTGTGATTTGTAAAAAAAAATTTTGTCAAACATATTTTCTTATGACGTACAATAAAATATTATTAGGATGATATAGAAAGAGCTTCTGTTATGATAACTAATTGATAGTGATTTATAAATTTATATGTTTAAACATTTCGATTTTCTATAAAAAATGTTTAAATATGATAAGTTTTCTTACACATTACCCAAATGAACTACATTACCGAATAGTCAAGCAAATTGATTTATAACAATTTTTTTAGAATGCTTGCATTTTTGCCGAATATATGTATACACACATGCAAAAGAAGCACAATCCAAAAAAATATAAGTAAAATCTCTCTTGCAAATTGCAATCTTCAGGCTCGTGAGGTAATATTTTTGAAATCGATATCAATCAATCATTTTATTATGGTTGTTTATTTTGGCTGAATAGCAAAGTTTTTTTTTAACGCGATCTTATATTTGGGCATACGATGTATTATTTATAAGAAAAAATGCAGAATGCATTTTATCATGTGAGAGATTCATGTGCTCTGTTTTGTGGGCTGTACAGCGTATAAATTTTCTCTTTCATGATTTATTGCATTTTGATTCATGCATTTTCTTGAAAGAGTCATTAATATTTTTAATCGAAACTGTCCTATATTAATCAATTTTTTTTTCTTCGCAGAATTCTTTTATACAATAGAACAACCTCGCTTCTTTTTGAACTTGTTTATAACATTTCACACATTTAAGAGTTTATTGAAAATTATAATAATTTTCCAAGCCATAAACATTTGATTACTAATAATAACAATAATAAAAGAATTAAATAAGTGTTAAGTGGCATCACCGCAGTCGTTTTCAACATCTGATAATAGTAAAATTGATTCACTTTCCTTTTCTTCTTGCATTAGTTAAACAAAATGTTACGTTTAATTCAATTAATTTAGTTCACAAATTAATAATTATGCTTGGTAACTCGTCCCAATGTTTGTTTTTTCTTACTCAACTTATATTTTGAGCGCCAACGGTCAAAGTGTATTTTTTCGGCTTAAATTAATTTTTGATTTTTTGGTAGAAAAATGATTCAGTGTAATATTTTGACAGCGTGTAGCTAAAGTAAGCTGAGGATTCAAGTTAGCCGATGCTAATCCGATCGGGATGTTAACATCAAAAAACACAAATTTTTAAATTATGTTCCTTTTTTGTTTATATTCCCGCTTAGAAACCAACCTATATTTAGAATGTAAGCCAACCTATATTTGGGAAGCAATAATATCCAGATGATATTTTAAAACTACTTGAAACTACTAGTAATAAATATTCACTTAAAATTGATTAAAATTGATTATTACTTAAGATTTACTGAACTGCAAATTAAAAAGACTTTCAGAAAATTTACTTCAAAAAGGAATAAAAACGGAAGTTCAATGTATTACATTAATGTATTAGGTACATTTAATCATTTTTCATATAATTTTATGGAAGGTTAATGGAACATAAATAAACGTCTAAAGGACGAGTATTTGAACACGTGCTTTTTTTCAAAGATTTTTTTTTCATGTAAATAGCGAGATTTTTCGAAATATATCGTAAGAAAAAGAATTTTTTTAGATTCGAATGCTTGACTGTCTCGGTATTCGATTTAGGGAAGATGATTGGAACGTTGAATGTTCAAAGAAAATTATCATACCTAATTGGACGATTGTAGGATAATACATTAATCTTCCATTAATGTTGACGTATAATGTATGGACATTTTGGCTTTATTGGTTTTCTAATTTTTTGGAATGATAAAGTTGACAAATTTACAAGTATAAAAAATAAATGGTTGAAATCTCTTAAACACTTAAATAAGTTTATTATCAACATCTTTGTTGTAAGTGGTATTTAAGTGGTTGCTGAACATAATCAGTTTTAATGTCAACAATAATCTCCATTAATAAGTGATTAAAAATTTTAAAACACTTCAAGTCATTGTTACTGATAATATTTATTGAAGTAATAATACTTCGCTAATATAAAGATATCACAGTAAGGTGATAATTACCCTTAATCAGAAATATCCGGAAAAATTATTTTACCGTCGGAATGTAATTTTTACTGGGTTTTCTTTAGGAAAATAATTAGACAATTGATTACCTTTTTATAACGCGATGCAATAAATCTTCACATGGATCACAATTGATGATACTGCCAGCAAGGTAAGCAAGAAAGATGCAAAAAATCAAATTTTTCGATAAACAAATATACTTTTACCCTATCTAAAGTAAATTAGGTGTTCAACCCTTATAGTAATAGTATTGCCGACAAAGTAGTGTGACACGGAGCATGATGATAACCAGTTTCAACGCGAGTTCTATGCTCTAACTTATCTACTACAGATATGGTCTTCGAGCCATCTTCTACACAACTGCAATAGGAAATGGTTCTATATTCCAAAAAGTTGTTCAGTGACAACTCGAGTTACATATGTAAGAGTAGGAAAGAACCTTTTTTTGGCTGTTGCCATAAGAAAATAATTGCTTTTCGATTAACCACGTTAAGCGAAAAAGTTACAAACTTATTAGTAACTCGGTAGTAAACAGTCGATTCGAATGGCTATAATAAGTAATTTAGATATAATTTTTTATAGTTTGTTCTACATACTAGCTTAATTTTTGTTTTATTCTTTTTTTTTAAGCGAAAAAGGTTGCAATAATTATAGGATGTGTAATTTTGATAGCGGCTATCGCTTTAGCTACAGCTTTACCATTAACTGTATTTAAAAATGAAAACCAAGTAAATTTGAAAACTCTTAAGGGCAGTGAAGTCCTTGATGAAGTTCCGTTAATTGATGGCCATAATGATCTACCGTATAATTTGTATAGCGTCGAAAGTAACATTTTGAAAAACTTCAATTTTGATTCGGATTTAAAAGTAAATCCAAGGTGGCAAATACCCAGCAGCTTTACAGATTTACCAAGATTGAGAAAAGGAAAATTAAGTGGACAATTTTGGGTGGCTTATGTAGGGTGCAGCCGTAATTACAAAGATGCAGTCGAAAGAACAATTGAACAAATCGATGTAATAAAAAGGCTTGTAAAAAGATATCCAAATGATTTAATGTATGTTACTGAAGCTGATCAAATCATGGAAGCTTTCAAAGCAGGAAAAATAGCAAGCATGATTGAAATTGAAGGTGGTCACAGTATAGATTCAAGATTGTCAGTTTTAAGAGTATTTTATGAATTAGGAGTTCGATGTATGACAATCACACATAATTGTGATACGCCATGGGCTGATAATAACTTAGTTGATCGTAATCCAGATTCAACAAAAAGAAACTTAACTGAATGGGGGAGAAAAGTTATTTCTGAAATGAATAGACTTGGAATGATTGCGGATCTATCCCATGTCAGTGAAGGTGTAATGGCCGATGTGATTGATGCATCAAAAGCTCCTGTAATATTTAGCCACTCGTCTGTTTTTGCAATTAAAAATCATACAAGAAATGTTAAAGATCATGTATTGTTAAAACTAAAACAGAACAATGGCGTTATTATGATAAATTTTTACAGTGGATTCATTGCTGATGAAAATGCAACAATCTATGATGTCGTTAGTAAGTGTTATCTAATTATTTATGTCACTGTAAATAATTATATATATTTTTACTAAATTATTGTACAGAGCACATTAATCACGTTAGAGATTTGATTGGTGTTGATCATGTTGGAATTGGTGCTGATTATGATGGGGTGGAATCAGTTCCAGAAGGATTGGAAGATGTATCAAAGTATCCTGCATTATTTGATCTTCTTGCTGAAGAGGGGCAGGATTGGAAACCATGGACAGCCGATGAATTGAAAAAACTTGCAGGGTTAAATTTAATTCGCGTATTTAAAGAAGTTGAAGCTG